AGCTTCTCTTCTCCTTCCGTTTCAGGTCCCTATTACTCAGTTCAGAGGCAAGATCATCGACAGCTAAGACCAGCCAGATTGTGCACCATCCGAGTACCAATACAAATTTGTAGAATGTAAAACCTTGTATTCTGTATTATTTTGTATGTATCTGCATTTTATTGCTTCCAAACCAAGCCCAAGGCATTATTTATCTAGGTGGGTAATTAATTTTCTCATGTAGGGGAAAAAGTTATTAAAACATTATCAGACAAAATTGCCCTTCTAATAGTGAAATATAAATGGGTAAAAGGGTCAATTATTTAACTTAAATGCATTTTATGATAAGAAAAAAAATTGATAAATACACTTACTTGTTTTTTACCAGAATAATTAATCTCCAAATTACATGGCTGCACTACAATCAACATTTTCTAATTTCTTCGAACAATGTCTCACCTCCAAATAGTCTCTTTGTTTGGGAGGCACAGGCCTCAACAATATTGGGCTGAAAGCAACATTTGCAGCCCAATAATGGGTTAAGATATTGGATTGTGCCCCAAACGACTAATAATTTAGGGTGGGGCCACCACACAATGGGCCCCAAGCCCCTAACAATGCGCCCAAACTATGCAGATTAAAGTAAGAAGGAAGGATCTTGAACACTTACAAGATTGCTTCTGATCATTCCGTTTCCCCAAACCTAAACATTCTAAATTAAGAAAAAAGTTGAATACAGTAATAAACTAAACTATTAAAGAGATGTCTGAAAAAGAAGCATTCTTTATCTTTTTTCTTTTCCAGTTCAATGGATCATCACATGGTTGGTGGATTGGTCCCATTTTCACTAAAATTTAAAATATTCCTTTTAATGCAGTGATTTAGAGCAGAATTTAGATTGATTGCAAGCTGTTTGTAATTATCCAAATAGCTCGCCAAATATATGATAATTTTCTCCTCCCAAAAATACATTTTTATTAGCTGACAGCACAGTGGTGTCTAAAATCCACTCAGCACTTCAAGGGAGGGAGGGAGAGAGAGAGAGAGATGGAGAGGAGAGAGAAAGGGAACGAGAGAAGAGAGACAACCGAAAGCCTGAAACAGAAACAGAGTAACAGACTCATTATCTGAGGCACGACTGTACACGTGTTCTAATGACGTGGCAATCGGAGAGTTCCGAAATTCCCGCAGGTGGAGCCGCCAAATCATTCTTCCTCCGAGTTCAAGGGTTTCTAAGTTTCTTCTCCAGTGAGGGAGGGAAGGAAAGGAATTAAAGGTTCAACGACTAGGGCATTTTTGCATTTTCTCTCTCTTTTCCTTCTTTTAGTTTGAAGGAGACGAAGGATAGAGAATGGGAACCCTAGATTCTGGAATCGATTGAATGCGGTTGGTTTAATATTCTTCCTTTCATAGCTTTTCTGTTTTACTGTTTTTTTTCTACGATTTATGATGGTGACTTAGCTCTATTTTTGGTTTTTCTTGTTCAGTATGTTGCTCTGTTTTGATTAATTTGCGCTTTGCTTCTAGGGTTTTGGTTTTCTGATCGTCTTGTTTCTCTTTTTTATTGGTATGTATTTGGGGGGAGAAATTTATGAAACTTCTTTTATTACAGCTTTTTATTGTTTTAATGCGCGCTTTTAAGAAGATTGGCGAGATACGATGTTTAGTTTGAGATGGTAGTCCAATGTATTAGTTTTAACGTGTTTAATATCCTTGCCTAAATTGGCTCCTGGCCAAGTAGTAGTTCACCTTCGAAGCTTTGATACTAAGTTAGTAGGGGGGGGATTAATGATTAGAACTCTGGCAGTGGTTTAAAGGGGTTGTTGGAGAAAGGCCTTTTCTTTTGGGGGGGGGGGTAAATTAGAAACTTTGGATTGTCGAGCATGTACTTGTTACTGTGAGGTCTTCAAGCAGGATTATGGTGGTATTTTAGACAAGGAAGTGAAAAGAGACTGTGTAGGCCATGTGATTTTGGCATGTTTTTCATGGTGGATGTTGAAGGCAGTTGAATGTAGTTCTGTTTGTGGTAGTATATCCCAAAATTGTTATGCTGTCTCAATCATTGCCTTTCTCTCTATTAGTCCTTTGAGCAATGTCAAAACAATTGGATCCCTTTTTCGTGGGCATAGTACATTGGCACACATCAAATTTACTGAGTACGTGGAGGAGCATTGGAACATTAGCAGTTGCAAGTGCAAAAACTTATAGGTAATTCACTCAGTGGTTGGGTGGTGGAAGACCTTAGTTTGAAGTTTGAACCTGATAAGTAACTGGGCTTGTAACATACTATATTACAAATCACCAGGGGATTTGGACCCACTTCATATCTTTCATTCTTTTGGTGCCTAGATGGCCTGCTGGGAGTCCTCATTACTTTCTGGATAATGGTACGCGGCCTGGTTAGGATAGGTTGAAGCAAGGGAGTGACAAGGTGTGTGTGTGTGTGTGCTTTTTTCTTGGAAAGTAACTGAATTTATTAAAAGAAAGAGGAATACATGAGATAATGTACAACTAAAGCACAAACAATTTAGGGAAACATAGGCAGATTTCTGTCACTATACATATCTTCCCTGTGTGCACCAGATTTTGCCAATTGATCAGATAAAGTGTTTAGTTCCCTAGGAATCCAATTAAGGTTGATACACAAGGAATCCAAGATGTATCCGGCCTCTGTCAGATAGTGGGCTAACCTCCAAGGGCCTCCATCCTTCTCCCCTAACCATTTTATTGTATTTCAGAGTTACCCTCAATGACCTGCTTTACTTCTTTTTTGCAAGGTGTAATTTTCGGAGACCTTGAAGATAGCTAGATGTGAGGCCACCTTGTTTTTTGCAAGGTGTAATTTTCTTTTCCGCCCAAATTTCATATCATGGCCCATGAGTCCAGATGTGGCATCTCTATGATGTTAGGATTTGAGGGTAATACCTTTCAATAGGTGGTAAAGACTGTATATACAGACAATATCAGTGCATATGGTGCTGCACACCTAATTAGCTTCACTTTTCTAATAAATAAAAACATGTGTTCAAGAAGTACTGGGAAGTATGGTCATTTCATTTTATGGATTGTAAGGCCTTTGTTCTTGATACTAGCCATGATGTTTTATAATCTAATGGTTGAAGAAGATTCTTGGGATGGCTATTAGAATGGGGTAACAGTTCTTCAACAAGTCCTCTGAAGCTATTCCATGTAATGATTAATGAAAGAAATTTAGAGTTTGACAAAATCTTTGAACATCTCATCCTCTTACTTGCCAAGGTTTGCAAATGAGATTTGTGAATGTGAAGGTGGATAAACAAGACAACTGAGACCTTTGTGTATGAAAACAAGCAAGCAAATGCAGAGTGTATTCTATTGTCTCCTGAAGTTGGCCCTTTTTTCTTTTTCTTTCTTTTGTGCTTTCCTTTCTCTTCTTTTTGGGGGGAGTGTAAATATATTGGTTTTGCTCCTTGAACATAACCAAAAGGCGTCTTGTGTCCTGCTTTGCTGTAGAGGATTAAGCAATTGGGTGTTTCCAAGTTTCCTTTTTTCCATGCTTTTCTTTCCTTTCTTTCTCAAGACTGTAAGTGGTTGGTGCAATGGACCACTTATTAAAATTTTCCATTTTGCAAGGTTGTTCAGGATGGAAGCAAACAGTAAACCTTTACTGGAGAGTGTTGTATGGAATCCTCTTTCTAGGAATAGCATGAATGAGTGGGAGGTGGAAAACATGTTGGTTCCCATGGTTAGACTTAAAGGCCATGTATAGTTAACTAGGAGACAGAGAAATGCAGGAATTCTAGAATTGATGGTTGCCTTTGTGTCTTTTCTTTCATTTCTTTTCCTTTTTTGAAGCTGCTGGTGGACAGAGGAGATGAGTGTGAAGCCGGAGTAATTTGGAGATCTTCAGTTCTGAACTAGGTTTCTCTTTCCTTGGTGGACATGACCATTGTATGAAAAATTGAGAGGTGTCAATCTCATTTCAAGGAAAAATGTGATAACAAATACCATAATTGTCAGTGTTCTCTGGGCTGGTGGACTATGTTAGCCAGATTTAGCAAGGACGTGGCTGGAAACAGTGTCAAATTATGAAATTTACACTAAATCCTGAAGCATCCGACACAATACCTCCCCTTTTATACAGGTATCCAACTATCATATCTGATGGATAGGGGAGATGGGTGGGAAGTAGGAGTTATATGGATATCTTCAATTCCAATCTGGTTGCCTTTCTTTTGAGAGCATCAGCATTGGATGAAAATTTGTCAGGTATCTTATTTTGAGGTAAGATGTGAAATATCATAGTTGTCATGGCATCACCTAAATTCCCACCTAGGTAGTACAATGTTCTTTTGTGGTTCTTTGTAACTTGGTGTTTTTATGTAGGAGCTCACTCATTTTAGGAATAGTTAATGCTACACTGTATTGTTGTGCATAAGAAGGGTAACACACTGTAAAAACCGGTTTCCAGTTTAAAGAGCCATTAAATGGGTTTAGTGATGCCTTTAGGCTTTAGTACGATAGGTCTCAACTAGTACAACTCATTATGGTCTGCCTTGTAAAAAGTCCCTTCATCTACTTTTCTTTCAAAACCTACAAGAAAAAAAGAACACATTCATCTCCCTATGGTAGAATAGGGGTTCTGCCCCTTCATTTGTTTTTATGTTCCCATTTTTCTTTTTTAATTGTAACCATGCCACCTCTTCATAGTGTTGTTTTTGGGTCCGATATCATGGTTAGCAAAACAAAATTGTTCTGTTTTTTCACATATTATTAATATAATCAAAGCTTTACTGATAAAAAAAATTGTAACCACTCCACCTCATCATTCTTCTTCCCCTTTTCATTTGTTTTTATCTCCATTGCATCCAACATAAAAATGACCTGCTTTACTTCTTTTTTTATTCTTTGATTTACACATGCATTCTCTTTGTATCTCTCTCTTGTATTGGCAGCATAGGGGCTCCATGTCATTCGTTCATGTCTTTTAGCCTGCTAGGACGAAAGATATCTTCTAGGATTGGCCAAGACTCTATAAAGGATGAAAGGCAAGTATATTTTGGAGCTGCATTCCATTTGGAATGTGTTGAGGGATTCGGAAGGACAGGAAGAGAAGAGCATTTGAAGGAAAAACTGGGAATTCAGAGATGTTATTTGCAGAAATGGGATTAATGATAGTTGACTAGGTATTAGTGCTTCAAGAATTTTCTGAGGCCTCTTGGAACTCTTTTGGTTCCAGTGTTTGGGCCATGTCAGAAGTGGATTGAAGGCAACCTGTTGAATATGAAAGAAAGATGAAGAACCTTAGATGTTAGGACCTATTGTTTGTAGTGCTATCTGATGTTAGGACCTATTGTTTTGATATAATTTCCATCTTTTTTTTATTGAAAATTCATTTTATTTTGCCTTGAAAGAAATGTTTAATAGTTGCTACTTTAGTCAGGTCCTTAATGTGTCCTCTGGTTGTTGTTTCTTTCATTTTTCTTAATAAAAAGTTTGTTTACCGGAAAAAAAAAGGTACAGAAGAGAGAACCATAAGCGTATCTTTGTGGTAAGCCAAAACTTTTTTTAATGAAATTCATTGAAGATGAATTTTCTGCAGTCCTGATGAGTTGTCTGTTTCCTATCTTGCAAGATATTAAAACATGGCATTTGTCTTTTATATATTTCTGACTTTGTTTAAACCTTGAATTTCTCCAATGTAACATTCAGGTAGTGTGTTATTTTAGTTTGATATCATTCTGTGGTTTTACAGATGGCAATTAATACATGTGAAGTGGTCCTTTAGGCAATATTTGGATGGTTTCAAAGCATTACCCTTCAACATACTGCAAATACTCAAAATGAAACCAAAAGCAAATGGAATTTCTAGAGCTGAAAAGTCAAAAAAAATTCAAGAAGGACCTAATTGGATCCTTATCATAGGAGGTGCATTGTTGAGTACTCTATCAATTCGGGTTGGTTACAAGCTCAAGCAAGCTCTATATACAAAGAGACCAGACAATGGTACTAACAGATTGATAGGTCTTACAATATGTAGCTTGTTGATGTTTAAATTAATTACAACTTGAACCCAGTTATAACATCTATGTATTTATTTCTTGCTGCTATTCAGGAAATAAAAGGTCTGTTGACAAGAGGAGACCAGGCACTTGCATATCACACTCAAATCCATATTCTTTTGCACAAGACGAAGATAGCTGTTGCAATGTAATGGCCTTTCAGGTACAGCATTTCACCAATTCTCATGGAACCATGAAAGAATCAAATGTAATTTGAACTCCTTGTAAAAGTTTGTTAGTCAACAACAATAAGTTGTAGTTAGCGTTGAAATTTCCTGCAATGCTTGTTACTTTGTTGTTGTGGTGGTTTGAAATGATGGTAAACATCCATGATTAACCTATACATATTGGTAAATCTCTTAAAAGCAATATTTGGTTTTGTCATCAATGTGCAGTCTGATTGCATTTTGACTATGAGGACTTTGGGTTTAGGTAGTTGCATTCTCCAGGGGGTATGTATTTGATTTGATTGTCAAGCATTTCACTGCATTCATTGAACTTTACCAGAATACTTTCTCAGTGAAGGAATAATTCATAAAAGAATTAATGCAGAAATTGTTTTATCAATTGATAAAACAATTGCCCTTTTTCTTTTTAATTATTAACAAGTGGACAATTTTCTTCTTTAAAGATTATTGAATTATTCAAATACTTAGGGATACTTGAAATATTTGGGTTTCAAAGTCCTTTACGTGAATGGGATAAAATTTGCATGGTCTGGTGAAAGGTTTTTATCACTTTTCAGATTTCAGATATGATTTGTACATCATGCTTTTCACGGTTTAAAGATTATATGTACTAGGTCTATGGCAAGAATAGGATTTTTCCCTTCAGCCCTTTACAAATGCGGGATGTACCATACATTTGGAACATTGTGCCATTTTAAGTGGGTCCTCCATCTGTCAGTATAGGTGCTAGGTTCCTGAAATTTTCTAGCTGATATTTTTCACTTAGGCCTAGCCCAAGTCTTTTGTTTCATGGCCTGCCTAGCTAATGTTTGGGACTGACTCTGAGTCATGCCTCAAACTGGACTGGAACTATTTACTCAACCATATTTTGCTTTTATAATCCAGTATATGAAATTATGGGCTCTAAAACTTGGCTTATATTTTTCTTCTATTTTTTTGATATCTTTTGAAGGGCTACACAACAGAGGGTAGCCCATCCCCAATCCCCCATCCCCCAACCCATAACCCCCCAACCCAGGTGCAGGTGGGATTCGATCCCAAGTCTCCGCTACGACCAGCAGGAGACCTTACCAACCAGCTGGTTGGCATCTTGCTATTTGTCTTCTAATTTTCTAAATAATTTTTTTCAGCAACAAGAAAATCCTCACCCATGATTTCCTAAATGATCTGACAAAGAATGCTGGCTGTTAGTCTTGGGTTGATTGGATCATTTTGACCATGAGAATCTACATTCCACATGTGCAAAAGGGTGAAACATATTTTCTTGGACAAAGTGCTTGTTTGCGCATTGCTCTTTGTCCCATCTTTTAAATTAAACCAATAGAAAATGGTGCCCCTTGTCTTAGTGTAAGCAAGAACTGTAATTAGAATTGCCTTATTTGTAAAGTATATGCTTTGAAATGATACATCACTGAATGGAGATACCTGTTGGATAATAAACTTGGTTTAGTATTATTGTTAGGGTGTTGAAACAGGGTTTTCTGATGGCAAGGTGGAGGTTAAGCGTCCACCAACTGGCCTGAGATTGCAGGACACTGATCTGGCACTACCTTTGGTCAAAATTCCAGCTCTGGAGTCAAATAAAGAAAATGGTGTGATCTGGGCATCTTCTCCTGATCGCCTTGAGCTTCCACCAAGGCCATTCCATCACTCAAATAGCTCAGACTCTCTCTGTGTATCAGAATCTGGTTCTGACATATTCACTAAGCGGGAAGTAATACAAAAGCTAAGACAACAGTTAAAGAGAAGGGATGAGATGATCCTAGAAATGCAGGACCAGATCACATCATTGCAAAGTTCACTCAGCATCCAGCTGGCTCACTCAACCAATTTGCAATCGCAGCTTGATGCTGCAAATCGGGACCTGTTTGAATCAGAGAGAGAGATCCAGCGTCTGAGGAAAGCTATAGCAGATCACTGTGTGGGAGATAGAAGTCCTGAGAAGTCTATTGCAGTCAGGAACTGGTCAGCAGGACAAAATGGGCATGTGAATGGTTTTATTGATGGAGAGAGCAACCTCGAGGTGGTGGACAAGGGAAGAGGAGATGGAGAGAGGATTGAGATGCTGAAGAGAGAGGTGGGAGAGTTAAAGGAAGTTATTGAGGGAAAGGAGTACTTGCTGCAGAATTACAAGGAACAGAAAGCTGAACTCTCTTCAAAGGTCAAGGAATTGCAGCAGAGATTGGCTTCTCAGGTACCAAGTATTTTGTAAACGCTCAGTTTTATCTGTTCTTGTTTTAAATTTTCTCTTGTATTGTTACTCCAGGGAAGAAGAAACTTTTCTTCTTCACTTGGTTTGCATGCTCCTTGCTGTATAGACTGTGTGCACGCATGTTATTAGAGAGAGCACTATGAGTTTACATGGAAATGGCTTCCTGATTGATGAACAAATTGAAAGTTGTGACTACACCGTCCAACACAAATGAACAATCAAATTATGATGGACAACCTGGAAATGGGATCACTACCCTCAGTGATTATGCTGTACTTCTGCAGTAGTTGCACTTTTGGCGAAAGGCTAGTGGCACTAACGGGCTTAGATGTTTGATTCCCGCATGTAAGTCTCATGGCCGAGGCTGTGGTATGTTTTACCAAGTACATCTGGGAATGATATAATATACATTTGTGTATATTTTCTTTGTGCATTGTCGGCAGATCACTTGATTGCTATTTATTTATTTATTTATTTCTGATTTTCTGCTTGAAGTCTTGTTTGCAATGCATCAAGGAAAAGTAGGTTCCTTTCTGTGAACATCTATCTCCAATCTTGAGAATGCCGACCCCATCAACCATTTTTGAACTGGCTTCAGAGCCCATTAAGCTGCAAGGAAACAAAGCATTTTTGTAGAAGTTTCTTTTAGCTATCGTCCTACACAATTTGGTTGTTGGGACATGAATTCTTGGATGATGCTATAATATAGGCAGAACAACCTCTACAAGGATGTGTTGATCTAAAATTTACTCACCCACAATGCTGTTTTAGTCATACATGTGCAGATGTAATCAAACAGAGCTTTTTATTGTAACTATTTGTGGTCGGCCATAAAGCTCCTCAAGATAACCAAAAGAAAACAATGTTAGTGGGTTTCTGCCCTTGTTTCCAGTTTGCACATCACTTCTCTTATCCTTGACCATGGCAGCATATCTCTTCACCTGAAGCCTGCCTTATCTTTGTGCTTTTTTTGTCCTGTGTGGACAAAGGCCTTATGGTAGCGTTACATTGATTCGTGTGAACCTGCTTTGGCATGAAGGGTCAAACAAACGTTAGAACTACCGAGTATATCGGTGCACATGGATATGGGATGCACTGTCCCTTCATGTGTATTCATTCACATTGTATTGGTACGCATTTATATTTTATACTCTGTTGAGTCTATTAAAAAATTGCAATTAGTGTGATTTGGGCCTGAGTTAGCTTACACCTAAATCTTTTAATAATAAATATAAATAAAGTAATTTTTATTTGTTAATGTTAGTGTCCACATATAATCAAAACAAATAACATATATTTATGTTTAGTGACTCCAATTAAAAATTAAAAAGAATAATAATCAAAATTAGTATTAAAAAATTATTTTTTAGTTGACTCTTTTTGTTAATGCTAAAAGGTAAAAATAGTAAGACAAAAAATAATTGATTTAATTAAAATATAATAGTTGTATAAGTTGTGTTTTGGACTTGAATGGAAAATAACATAATAATAATTTTGTGCATATGTTAATTGGTAAAAATCTATATAATGTGTTCTCTTGATTGATGCATTATCAATAAAATTATAAGATATCTATGTATCCCTTTATATTAATTATAATATATTTTATTATAATATACATTTTATATGTATTTATATGTTATGCATTCTTAGCGTATCCAAGTATTTTCATATTTTCTATTTGTATCCATGAGTTTTCAAAGCAGATTGATGAGTTTTCCAATACAAGTGTGACTGATTGGATTTCCATTTCCTTTGAGCAAGACATAACGAAAACTGTAAGCCCGTAACCAACTAGTCATACTCTTGCAGTTTACAAGTGTGACTGATTGGATTTCCATTTCCTTTTCCATTTTGAGGACACAACTAATGTGTTTGGATCTAATAGACACAACATTGTAAGCAGGTGTTTTTAATCCTTTTCAAGGATAGGTTGAGTATTTTAATTTAAGGGACATGTGTCAAGATTTTCTGAGTGCTTAGTGTGCTTACCATGTGTGCTTACCATGTGTGCCTACCTGATCGAGACTGCATCGTACACTTCCTTTTGTTGCTCTTTTGCTTCATTTAGTGACTCACGTGGCGTTAGTATATTGTTGCTTTTCAGTTATCCTATTGACTCAAGACTATTATGAGAACATTATCTATTATGGAGGTCAGCCTTAGGGGTGCAAATGGATCGGATCATGATCTGATCTGATCCAAGGTTCGATCCTATTTTGTTAGATTCAGATATCTCCATTTTGGATTTTTGGATTGGATAACAGGATTCAAATAAAAATTGGATCAAATTTGGATCGCCCCTATCTGATATACTATATGTATGTTATTTATATTACATTTTTGTAAATTTTTTATAAAAACATGTATATATATGATGGAAATAGTTGAAAAAAAAACTTGTATTTTTATATTTTCTTTTCCTTTTAATGGTTTATTATTATTATTTTTAATTGTTTTGGATTCGAATTTGAATCAATGTTTATGTGATCCGATGGATCAGATCTATAGTTTATAGTATTGGTTTGGATTTAGATATATATCCTTAACATATCCAATTCGATCCGCTTGCATCCTTAGTTAACCTATAAGATTGGACATTCATCTAGGGCTGCAAATGGATCAGATTGAATTCGGTAAAAGGGTATATTTGATCCGATCTGACAAGAAATCTTACCGATCTGAACCCGACAAGAATCTGTTGAATTTTCAATAGTATGATTCATATTCGAATATCTTAGCAGATATCTGATTCAAATACAATTGTAATAAAAACTTGATGGTATAATATACATAATATATTATTATTTATATAATATAATAATATATTATTAATATAATATTATAATATAGAATATACATATATAATATATGATATTTCATAACTAACTGATTGAATTGGGTTGTGATGGATGGAATTGGGATATATTCAAATTTGATCTGTTAACTAAATTGATCAAGTTTTCTAATCTGATCTGAGTTGTTAGGATCAAGAAAGGTATCTAAATCTAGCTTTTACCTGATGGAATTCGGATTCAAATCAGATCTTATCCAACTTATTTACAGCCCTACATTCATCCATTTGACAGGCTGCACTAGTGATTCCTTACAACTGAAGTGATAACTAACAAATCATATATCCATCAATAAATCAACATACAGGAAGTCCTATTAATTTAGATTCAAAACAAAGGCAGTGTTTGGTTTGAAAGAAAAGATAGGGAAAGGAAAAGAAATGCAATAAAACCTATATGAGTTTTTTTTTTTTTGTTTTTCGAAGAAATGATCCCTTTATTCAACTATCAATGGAATGCATAGCTTCCTGTCTGATAAAAAATTCTATGGACAGAGGAGGAGCTTGCTGCCAATCAAAATTTTGTATTTTGTAAAGGATTCCTACAGTTCCCTTAACTTTTTCTTTTAAACCAAAAACAGACTAAATGACTAAATGAGATAGAAATGGCTAATGTATGTTTAAGCTAAATCAAAATTTTATATCCACGACCTATTAGCTGAGATGGTCATTCAGGCATCACTCCGATCATAGTCCGGCATTTATGCCTCTCATCATATTATCATTCTCTACCCAGAGTGTCCAGTAGGAGATAAGAAAATAGAAAATTCTCTCGGGCTTATGTCGGCCACATGTACAGATGTACTCTGAGTGCCTGGTCTGGTCACCATCATGGACTTTTGGCAGCAAGACAACTTAAAAGCCATTGCCGTAATTATGCAGTTAAGCTTCACAACCAGCCTTCGTCTTCACTTCTTCAGACTCCTGATCCTGAATGCCACCACCAAGTCTTCTCACCACTCTCCTGTCTTGTGTTCTGCCCACAAATGCTTTCAAATTGTCTTGCTGCCAAAAGTCCATTCAGCAACCAACGCTGCCTTCTGCAGCCTCCTTAGTACAAGGACCCAACATGGTATCGGCTCGGACATCTGACCATCCTATTCGGGGCTTCTCTGGATGGCCATCAAGATTGTTAGATCATTCTACTACCACCAATGAACCCTAGGTTTTTCAGAGAACTATATTTGATAATTGTGCAAATTCCGGTTTCTTGGAAACAAGAATGCATGATTAACAGTAGTAGATTTAGCCCATAAGAGCAGCAGTTGCTGGCTCTCCACTTCAGACTTCGTAGAGATACCTTCACAAATTCTGCTTGTGTCAGAGTTACCACCAACTGTAACTCAGGTTGCTTAGCACTCACAGATGCAAGAATACATGACTTCGGCATATGAAAAAAAGAAGACTGAAAACACAATAAAAAAGATTGCTCTGATACAATCATTCAAGAACCCCAAAAGAAGTAAATAAAAAAAAGATTGATCTTGATAAAATCATCAAGAAGTAAAAAGCAGAGAGAGAGAGAGAACCTGGAATGGGCTGCCGAGCAGAAACTCCATATCATATTTACACTGATTGAACCCGACTTTCTTAATTTATTATAAACCAAGACTTTGCTTAGTTACCCTCTGTTAAGAATTTCAGTACGGTAAAGAGACCTAGAACCATTTTACAAATATTTACTTCTAATTACTATTGTTATTTTTGTTGTATTGCTTTCTTGGTTACTTCATGACTAAGTAAGAAGATTCTAAGTGGTTCATTTGGATCAGAAAGGCTTTCTTTTTCCTTCTCTTCTAGGTATGTGATTGAACAATGAGCCAAGCAACATAAGTTGGCAAGTACATGGCCCTTCCAGAGTTTTCCACATTTGATGGATGGTCCGGATCCTCCAATTTGGGTTCTCTGTTGTTGCATCAGAGCTTCCTTCTTTGTTTGGGCCTAGAAGACAAAATGGGTTTCCTTGTTTTATAGGGAAAGGGACACCTATTAGGTATGCAACTATGCACCATGGTTCAAAATCAATACACAAATTGCGTATCATGCGACTCAAAGGAGTGAATACCCAAGAGCCCTTTCGGTTAAGCTCGATTATTCAAAGGAGTGAATACCCAAGAGCCCTTTAGGTATCATATCTTTCCGGCATCATAAATTTTTCTTATGTGTTGATACATAATTTGTAGTGCTTGGAAATATCAATACATAACTTTATCGTATCATACAATATGTATCGGAGAGATGGCCTGGTAAAAAGCTTGAAACCTGAAACAATTTGTGTATTGACCAATTGATATTAACCATCTTCATACCAAACTCTCTTGGGCCTTCTGATTTTATTCTGTACAAGCTCCATTATTCATACTGGTCAGACTGCTGTTGTTTCATTTGCTATCTTTATAATGTGTGCAAAATGTCAAATTACCATCCGTGGAACCTGAATACATACAAGCTCATGTTTTCTCTATTTATTTCATGCTGCCCCTACTATCCACCTTATTTCCTTCTGCCTGTTTGGTTGGTGATAGCTACACTTTGTTGGAATGACTCTGGATGTAGTTGACATACTAGGGCACTTCATGGCGATCATTCATCTACTTCCTTCCTCCAGTTCTTAATTTCATTTAATCCTTGGATATCATAGGACTACTGTCTGGGAAAGATTACAGGGCAGTACGCTACTGTACTGTCTTTTTAGGTGAATTCAAGAGTGCCAGAAAAGTCACTTTTCCATCTCCTACTTAGGCCCTGTTCGCTTTTCGGTAAGTTACTTGGATAAATGCAATTACCTGGGTAATTTTCTGGGAAACACTTATCCAGGTAAGTGCATTTACCCATGTTCTTTTATTTATCATGTAAACAAGGGAATGACCATTTTAACCATAGAAATCCATTATTAAAAGGGGCATTTTTGTTCCATTCAAGTGTTGGCAACTTTCCCCCTATGTGAGAAAGTTATTTACCCACCTAGGAGATGGGTACCACTATATTGGACAAGTGATACCTAAGAAAATAAACTTTCCATAGTCCCCACATAAACTGAAAAAAGAACCCATTGACCAACTTTCCCCCCTCTCCAAATCCAAAAAAAGAACACCCCCTTGTTTTCCAGGACCTTTGTATGACTTCTATCTCTTTCTGAGATAGCCTGCTGGTAGAGTGTGGTAGGTACAAAATCAGGCGGCAGAAACACTCTTCCAGACATCTTGTTTACCTTGATCGTTCTGTTAAATCTAATATTGTCTCAAAACCCAATCATTTCTTGATCCTATGATCTAAGTTTTAAAGAATATGTTTTGCTTTCTGACATTTTCATCACTTTATTTGCTCATTACCAGACGACTAATATACTAGGGACATTCTCCAAAAGATTTCGCTGATTCAAAATCCTTGCAAAAGATAGTGCAGCAGTTCTTTATGCTTTATATGTCCTCATACAAGAAATTAGTAACACATCATTCCATATAAGTAGAAATAGGTGGAGTGGACTAAGAAGCCACATAACAGACTAAATTAAGCCTTTTTTTTTCATGTAAAATAAAATCCTCATTTCTAATTTTGACCAAGTAAATCATTCCCAACATGGCTCTTCTGAATATATCAATGGGTCCATGGCTGTGATACCAGCAAATTGGCCAAGGCCATTGAGTAGCCCAGAAAAAGATATGCAAGTCCTCTGTAATGGCCAATATCTTGACCACTAATAGATAGTCAATTTTTTGCTTAACACATTACATGGCCTATTATGTTCCGACTGTATTCAATATAGCCCTGTGAAACAATGAAGTGTACACATAACTAGAATCAATGGCAACTCCAAATAAATTATTGCTTACATAAATAAAATTCAATAGCAATTTTAGTAGAACGGTTGAAGAATAAATTTGACTAAAGCATTGGGGGCGTATTACTGAAGGTTGACTAAAAGGATGATAACCCAGTAACCCACTGACTACTACATGTCCTCACTGTGTAATTCACTTTGGCTTTCTGCAAGTAATGATGGCAAATTTGATGAGATCCTTCTGGTATCCCTCGATCATCAATGGCATGGCAAGCGCCCCCTTCATGGTTTTCCATCCTGAGTGAACCCATAATTACACAATTCAGAAACTGATAGATAACATAGGAAATGACAGCTTATACAATTTTTGATAAAATGTAATCATACCACTTCGAAGTAGTGAAGTGAGACCCTTCCATGTTAATGCAGAGCGGATCACCGCAGGCCAAAATGGAGCCACATACTGTGACCAATCTGCTGCTTTGATATCCTACCATAGTGATTCCAAAGAATTAAGTTTGTACTTATCTATGTGCTCCAAAAGGAAATTATTTATCTGTGTGCTGTGTATGCACATCTGTATTTGGTCTGATTCTAAGCAGGTTAGGTTAGGTTCTTGCTGGAGAAAGCGGAGGAATCTTCATTGTGGTTTTTGTGTTGCAACAGTTCACAACACCTGTTTTTTTTTCAAATATGTTAAATGTTGAAGCACATTTTGTCCAGGTTCATATCCACCTCACTATGATACCCAGATATCCATACTGTTTAACATAGCAGTGTCATGGTATGAAACAATCTTATATGTTAGAAACATGATTAAATTTGACAAGACAAAAGTCATGAAAAATGTACACTTAGCTTCAAAAACTAGATACAAAAGCACAATATAAGCATAACATATGGGACACCCCTACCGACGCCCTCATTCAGATTTTAGGAAATGGGGAGTTGCATTTCTGTTTCCCGTATTCATGTACATGTTGGTATCTATATCTAGGGGTCATGGTTCCCAACTCCCAAGATCCCAGATAGCTGAGACAAGCATTGGATAATGACCTTTTATTTCATCTATTTCCTTTCCTAGTTTTCTTTCAGAATGTTCTTTTTATCTCTGATTATGCTTCATCCTATTCTTAGGGAAGACTCAGGTTGAAGTCAAGTTCAGTTGGTTTGGTTCAGATTAGCCCCAACCCATACTGAACTTTGACCCATTTCTATCCTTAGGCACAATGTAGAGAATGCAGGAGCCACTTTAGTGTAGAAGAAGATCACATGGGCTTGCTTCTGCATGAACACTGTATTTTTACCTCTTTTTGTGTTTTTGTAGTAGATATTCTTAGAGCATATGTTTTCTATAGACATTACAATGGGAAAAGGAAGGCCCACATGGGTTCACTAATTGAATGGAGACTGTTATTTTTACCTCTCCTTGTGTTTTTTGGGTAGATATTCTTAGAGTACATATTTTCTATAGACATTAAAATTGGAAAAAGCCCATTCTTTAAGGATCGAATCCATAGTTCTGACGGTTAAGGCTAACCAAATTGGATTCTATGTGAATACCTGGAGTGAGAGGGATTGAAGTAATTTCACATAATCAGCAGCAGAACACCAAGCTGGTAGATAATAAGCATCACATATCTTGTTCAATAGCTTCTCCTCTTCTGGCTTCAACGAGTCCTCGGAGGGGGAGAGATCTCTATGGCACCATGTTACCATTATTATAGTGGCCCCAGGAGCTGCTACCCGGGCCAACTCACTCACAAACTGCAAGACAATGATATAATCAAACTATAAATTAGAGCAAATGAAGGATCAATTCTTTGCTTTTAAATATAGGGACTAAGGGACACAGATGCCTTGAAACCATATAACTGAAACAACCTTATGCCATTGGTATAAAGTAGACACCTCCACAACACTCATGCTTGCTGATTTTGAGTGCACACTCATAATGAGAGGTAAAAGAATATAAAGATGGTTTAAAAGGTAAAACTTGATTAGTAACTTATGCACAAACTGAATTACGTAAACACATGATGTTGCATTTTTTTTTTGCACATGATGTTGCATATTTAACTCAAGGTAAACATAATTTTACTGTTCATCTTTGTTTCTTCTGTAAAAAATTGAAGGGGGAAGTTCATTTACACATAAGTGAATTTTCTCTGTTACTGTAAAGAAGGATGATGTTTGAGACTCCAAGTACATAATATTAGTAGTCAATTGAATTCCATCTTTACAATTCATAATTTTACACATGGGAGAATTCTTCTTTTTATATCAGTATTTCGATAAGTACTCTTGAATTAGCAAAGGAAATAAAATATCATTACAATTCAAAATCTGTGATCCATGCAACATTTAGGCCTAGCATTGAGATGACATAGTTAAATGAGAATATGATGTCCACATTGGTGTCCTATTTTCAATTAAAAGCCAATGGAGAACTACCGTTGAATCTAAAATTTCCTATATACACCCATATGAGCACAAAATTACTTCTAATCAGAGAATCTTGTGTGTAAGTGTGTGTGCGTGTGTGTGTGTGTGAGAGAGAGAGAGAGAGAGAACCTTCTTTTTGTCAGGCATGTGCTCCCCACTCTCCATGGACCAAACTAGATCAAACTGCCCATCGGGAAATGGTTGCTGCAAAGCATCCGCAACTTGGAAAGACACCTGCTAAGAGTTCACAACTGTTGAATATACTTTCGAAACTTTCCTTTTCTCCCTTTTCTAAATTTACATGAGATGGAAGTAACCCATTTTGAAGTTATTGACGAGTGTGGTGAAATAGAGCACATGACCGGATGGTTTTTACCGAAGAGATTCAAAAGTCTAAAAAACAACCTATGCTATGTACTATGTAAGATATGCACTTTTCTATGGGTTTTTTATTCAGTAGAAGAGGCATGACACATTACAACACATGCACTATTTAGCAGAGAAATAAAAGTATGAGAACTAACAATATTAGATGCTACAAAACTCACATACTTTATCTGCTAATCCCTGGGCAGCTGCAAGAGCTTGAGCCCTTTGTGCTTGGACAGGGCTCAAGGTGATGCCTTGGCATTGAGCCCCATATTTCCTCGCTAGGTATCTGGAGCTGCCCCCAATTCCACACCCAACATCAACTATGCTCTTCGGCTTCTTCAATGAATCTTCTGCAATTCAATCTCCCCATATTATATATATCATAAAAAATGGAAGAAAGAAACCGAACCGAAAAGAATGCAAATTTGAAACCCATTTCTCAATAATCAATAACGTGTGACAGAGTAAAACAATAGACGTGAAACAAAACCAATGCATAAAATCCTGTCCCAACTCCCAACTGGGTATAAATGGTTTTGTCAAGCTGGTTTGAGCTTTGCCACTTAACGAGCCATTCCTCCGCCAATTGGTCGGTCTGGTTTGACTTCCCTGTCCCAACTGGGTTTAAATGGTTTGAGTTTCGGCATTGGACGAGCCATTAGTCGAACTGATTCGACTCGGTCCATCTGTTTTCCAGTTCAACTGGATGTTAGCAGCAGATCCTTTCTCCTATTATTAACCCGTTATGAGTAAAGGAGGTGATAAAGCATGACAACAAGTGCGTAGGTCCAACCACAGCTTGCCAACTCCCGAGTTTACCTCATGACTCTCCCAAGTTCTGAGCACTGAGACTTGAGTCATGGTTGTGACTCTTTAAATATAAGCTCCTGTCTGAGTCATTTGACTCTTACACGGTCAATTTATACCTATGTCAATATTTAAATTGAGTAACCACATTGCTAACTTGAACTATCCATCAGACAATAAAGGGGACACTTCCAGTGTTTAAATCATCCCTGTCCCCCAACTTGTTTTGGGGTTTTACCCTTCCAGTGTATAAATTTAAAGGGTTTTTACTGTTCAATCCACCCTTACAAATTTTAGCTCCATCGTACTATTGAGTAGCTACCAGCTGGGAATTGATGACAATATACAGGCAGATATTGGTATTGGTGTCTAGATGAAGGTATTTGAAATTTTGAATTATTATAGGTTTACAGTGAAATTCAGAATTCTAAAATGAAGCTATTCATCCCTAAATTTAATGTCATACAATCATGATTAATAAAATTCTAAATAGTAGCATAACTAGGAGTTATTTTCACGACTCCCAGGCTAATTCCAAGTCAATAACACAAGTAGAAGATTGGTTTGTACTTTTGGTAAGAGATTTTAACAAAGCATAGCACCACACAGGAGTTATCAGAAACCCTGGATGATTAATGAGCAAGAACTTGGAGAAAATAATCAATGAAACAAAGCCTCAGCAATTATCAACAGTCCAGAGCATCCACACATTCTATTAATCAACATATTGAAGGATGAATATACACCCACTATAAACAGCACCCAAACCAAGTCAGAACAAAGTGAAACCTATGCTAGTCAAAGTAAATTGCTTCTCTGCCTAAACCTCTTCTTCTAGTAAATAGATAGGCATACCAGAGTGGAAGAGCTTAGGAAAAAGTGCAGTGCAGGAGATTCGGAGTAGTGCCTGATGTTTCAGGCAGGCTGTGAAACCAACGAAGAGGTTTCATGTCAGTATTAAATTCATGGGCCTCCACTGTTCAGCTAAACCTTGCTCCTTTTTGGAAAATGCACAATGCATGAAACTGGATGTGGGGCCAAGTGCAGCCAACAATTGCGTAGAAAGAGAGAAAGAGAGGGGTGTGTGATTTCAGCACATCCCAGTTTGAAAGGGAAAGAATTATCAATTTAATTAGGGGGTTAGTTGAAATTTTTGGCAAATCAGAAAAGTCTACCATTTTTTTCATTTTTCAAATATGGTACAAACGTCAAATTGGAGTTCTGAAAATCACCCCTGCACAGATCACGTTTTTTTCCTGTTTATGTTAAAATGATGACGTGGCAAGGTTAAGAAATACATCAATGCCAAACACTTTCTTAATTATCCAAACCTCATTTTTCAAGCCGTCAAATTGCGACACGTATACATATTTTCCTCATCTAAAACCTTATGAGTCGTTGTGTATTCTATCAATCCCCCTTAACTGATAACTGATAAGCTTCCCCATATTACAATCCAGTGGTTCCTTTCACGTGCACTGAGAATAGCGATTAGCGAATGGCCGTACGTAAACGTGATTCACAATAGTAATTTGCAGCAGGAAACAAATAGAACTAGTGGGACCCACCCCAGGTCCCACAAGGCCTAATCAGAAACGTTCCAAGAAATCATCCAACGAATCCGAGAAGAAAACAACCGAACCACAAATAAACAAACAAGCGAAAAGAGGGAGTAGAACCGTAGAAGCTACTCGCTGCCTGGCTCAGAAACAAAACAGATAGAATTACAGAGAGAAATTCGTGGCAAGAATACCTGGAACGCCAGCGAAACTGAGAGATTCTTCGATCATACGAATCTGAGCAGATCGGTGGTCGGAAATCGAAGCTTGAACGTCTGGATTATAGAAGCCATGGTGCATATGGTCCCCCCAGATGTCCTCCCAAATCCCTGAGGACTCGTCGTAGAAGTCCGCTATCCCCTTCTTCAACACTTCTCTCCCCACTGTCTCCGTCGCCGCCGACGATGACGATGCCATCATACGCGTCGTGGTCTTCGCGAGTCCGGTACGTGTGGATCGTCCAAGACCTATTCGCACCGGCAGGGAACTGATCCTCCTTCTTCTATCGCTCGTTGATGGCTGGTTTAAATATTGGAGGAATGGCGATTCGGTGGTTCGAAACAGAGTATTCATACTTGAGGCGGAAGCTGGAGAGGACTGAAACTGAACAGAGGAAGATATGGAGAAGGTCGCAGAGCAGAGTGGTATACATTATTTTATTATAACATCATAAATTCATGGTATGGGACCATCGGTGAGACCGATAGAGTGACGGATATGCCCTGATATCAGTGCATTTACGATTATGACATCTTCTCTACTGAGTTGGGAGAATCGTAGCTGAGCTGAGCCGCTGTGACGCTGTCCTCTGAGGTGTAAATTGCAATGCGTTTGGAATTTGGATGGGTCGAATCCGATGGATCTGGCTCGACTCCGACGAAGTTTGGGCCTTTTTATTTTAGGAAAAATTTCCGATTAATACAATAATACCCACTTTGGTCCTCGTAAACGTTCAAGATGTGGTCCTCCTGTCCTGTGTGGGGATTTCGAACCGTCGTCTACCGTAGGATTAGCCAATCATAATACACCACGCTAGTTCGCCTGTATATGTGGATCCCACATGTCTAGCTGATGTGATGCACCCATCTGCCCCATTCTAATTCACGTGGGTTTGTCGATTGTGATTCGTTAAGGTTTTTCACTTTCAGATACCACATCCTTCTGGGGTACAATGGAAATTATAAACCAGGACTCCAAAACAACTTTTTAACCAATTCCAATCCCAAAGATATTTATTATGGGTAAAAGACTTGGAAAAATCGATGTTCATATAACTGAATGGGGCAAACAATCCATAAGGGAGAGATTCACGTGTTAGAGGTTTAATTGGGATCAAACCAAGGTTGAACCATGATGATATGTATATTCATATTACCTATAAAAAAACCGAACGCCTCTTTTTTATGGAATTTTCATTGGACGTTTTTAATCTTTTGTCTAAGCATACAATGGGTATAAAGAGGGTATATATGTCCTTTATTCTCACTTCAGAAACTGCCCACTTATAATCGTTAAAAAATTGTTAGGGTGTTGGGACCATGAATTATAACCATTTAGAAACTACCCACTTAATACCTTAATTAATTTTGGATACATGAATTATAAAAAGTGAATATAAATTATAAATAGTTTTGTCTTAGAGATACTGCCACGTGCAAATGCACATACACGTTTACTAGTATATATGGTGGATGGATAGAAAATTTCTTAATTTTAAAGCAAATGATTAGGGTTCAGTCTTTTAATTTACATTTTCTTTAAAATAGGTGCATAATAAATTAATATATACAATAAAGAGTTATTAATTAAAACAAATAAAATGGTGGATTAGTGGTAATTAAGTAATAAATGAAAATAAGAGGTTGTGTGTTTAAGTCTTGTTAATCACATTTTAAAATTTCAATTATTTATAGACTTGGGCGGTTTCATGAAACCAGAACTGATCAACTGGTTTTCATTAGGGTTTTAACAAATGCGATTATTGGGGTGTGATCGAGCCAGTCTGGTTCTTGGGCCATGGTTCAATTGGCCGATCGTTCAGTATAATTTTCTAAACACAACGAAAAAACCGTTATTTTTAATGTAGGAAGTAAAATGACCAATATACCACTAGGTTAAGTTTGGGATTAAATTGGTTATCAAATAAAACTTTTGGAAGGAGTACAAATGCAAATATGTAGAGTGCAAAACCTTATATTTTGTATTACTTTGTCTGTATTTATACTATATATTTGTATTTGTACTCCTTCCAAACTAAGCCTAAACTGCATTTGATATGAGTACGATCCATGGCCATAACTTTATACTCTAAATTTTCAAATCATTGTTGCTCTAGGCATTTGAATTGTATGACTGTCACTTGGTGTCAATTGGGTTAACCCCAAACCCAAACCTAAGAATTAGTAAAGATCTGTCATGGTATTCTGACATGCAGCCTATAGCGAAAATGGATCAGCCTAGCCTCCATGTTTGTTTTTAAAAATCCGCTCCAAATCTAATCTGCTAATATCATATTAAAAAGTTGAAGTTTCATTTAACTTGAGCTATTGACATCACTACTTCCACCCAAGGTTCAAAATATTGATACACTCAGATATGTGGAAAGGGGGTGTATTGATACTTTTTACTCTAGAAATGGCTTAACTTTCTTCTTCTTCTTCTACTTCATTTCTCTTTCTTGCTTTTCCTATCTAAAAGGGAAAAACAAAATTTCAAAAATTTTAAATGAATTGTTTCATTGATGGAGGTATGTTTAAGTCAAATGGGGTCAACCACAAAGTATATTCAAGTCTATTTGAAAAACTCGGTATGTTTAAGTCAATTTATAAAAAAACTCAAGGTATGTTTAAGTCTTTTGCACCAAAAGTTTTGTGCTCCGAGTATAAAATGGAAAGATCAGACTTGTCCTTTGTATATCACAGAGTCTCCATTTATTTTTTGGTTATAATTTAAAATTCAAGTTCAACTAGGATACTGTGATACAGAAACTTATAACCAATGAACCAATATCATAAAAGCGGTAATCAATGAAGTGGCATTCATCAGAATTTGGGGGGTTGATTAGACAAAACTGTTCCCGTTTCATACCGTAACAAAATTAGACTTATGTACCGTAACAAAATTAGTCAGGTCATTCACCCTTCTCCACTTCTCTTAAACTTATGTACCGTAACAAAATTAGAGAAATTTTGTTATATAAAAATTACCTTTTGTCAGGTCGTTGTTAGTGACCATTAATAGAATGTATCGCCATTAATTATTTTTAATGATTAAACAGAACTTGATCCTCTGATAAATAATTGATTAAAAAATATAGCAGGTGAAAAACAAAGAAAAACATTATTTTTCTCTTTTATCCTCCTCTAACCAAAAGGTTCCAAGTCCATGAAGACACACCATTTTCATTTATGGCCAATTCAAATGAGAGAGATAGTAGTATAGTAAATTATTGAAAAGTTGGGATCAGGTAAGAGAAACAGGGAAGAATATAGGGCGGGGGGGG